ATTTTAATTTGAAAACAAATTTATTTTTATCAAGGGTTGACCAATACCAACTCCTTTTTTTTAAATTTTGGGGCCAATTTTTCTTTATTTTCTTTATTGATTATTGTCTTTTTTGTGATTGTTTTTCATTGAATTTCAACAAAAAAATTTCTGAGCTTATTGATTAGCTTAAATTTATTCGCAGAAACATTTTCAAAACAATTTTTAGATATTGGTCAATAACTTACAAAAACTGAATTATAAAAATTCTAAATTTTTAATAATCTGATTATAAAAAATAAAATAAACGATATTGGTCTAAAAGAAAAAAAAGGAACGACCGACCTTACCGGGTATACTAGAAAACCCGGCCACGCTTTGCTGTGGCTTTTATTAAAATTGATTGATGTTTGATTCAAATGGAAAATCAACAGTTTTTACTCAGTTTGTCCTAAAATTTACATTGGATGAATAGTGTAGAATTTATTTCAAAAAGTCCCTTCATAGTAAAAACGTGATTGTCCTTTTTATCCCATAGATCTTGTGTAAAGTGACAATATATATATATATATATATATATTGCATAGTATAAATATGTATATAATATATAATACTTATTGATTCATACGATTAAAAATTATTCTACTTCTATCAATCTATTTCCCTTATCTTTCTACCACCAGCTCTCACATTATCCCCCGTTATGATATCTTTACCTACATCAAAGCTCACTCATGTCGTCGTTCTACTTGAAATAAAATCAAATCAAAGAATAAAAACTTATAAAATACGATTTACATATCAAAACAAGATAATCGCAACATTTCGAAAGGTATTCCTGTAAAATTCAGAACTGAACATGAAACGACGTGTCCATTACGATTTGTTTAGATTTAATCAATCCAACAATAGACACATAATGAGTATTATAAATAGTGCGTGATTGCACCAGAAGGAGGAATATTTAAATTTATTTATATTATTATGTAATAGATACTAACAAACAATTGTTATAAATAAATGTTATTCGCTATCTGATGAGTCGGGGAAAGTTGGAAATTGATTATGTTATAAGGTGGAAAGTTGCAGGCAGGAATCGAGTAATAAAATTGTAATAAAAATAAGTACTGTTTTGTTAAAATTAATTTGTGAGGAAACTAATAAGTGTCTGAAAAGTTTGCTGATATAATTTCAAGACAAAGTTAGATGTTAAAAGTACAAGAAGTAGATAGATGTGTTTAGGTTTGTCGCCTATTCCCGAACTTCCCGAATAAAAATATTTTTTGAAAATAAATATAATTCCAAAATTTTAATACATTTATTTGGTTTATTGTTTGCGTTTATTGTATTTTTCAAATGGAAAATTTTCTAAAAAAGTATTAATTTGAATTATTTTTTTTTTTTTATTTAAAAAGAGAATTTGTATGTTTGCACTGAAGATGAGTCAAAACTATGTATTTAGGTTTCTCGCCTATCTGAGTATCGAACTTTCCGAATAAAAATTTATTTTTTGAAAATAAATATAATTCTAAAATTTTAATACATTTATTTGGTTTATTTAATTTTTTAAATAGAAGACTTTCCAATATAAAGTATTATTTTGAATTATAAATTTTTTATGTAAAAAGAGAATTTTCGTATGTACATATTTGCACAGATGATGAGTAAAAATCAAAAGTATGACTCGAAAAATTTGCAAATTTTGACGAGATATTTTAAACTAAACATGTTTTCATCTTGTTAATAATTAGAAAAAGGTTCTTGCATTCTGTTTTTTTTTTTAATTTAAAAAAATATTACAGAAAAGGGGATGATGGAATATATCAAGTTCCGAAACGTATTACATGATTATTTAGAAAAAAATGTTTTTTTCACTTTCCGTAGGGTAGTTATAATAATGGGCCGAAAATCGAAAATGAAATTTGTTGCAACGGGAAGTTCCAGCAATTACGATGCCATACACCATTAGTTTATCTTTATAATTATTACAATTATTATTATTTAATTATTATCGAATTGTAACACTTTTATTCGTTTGCTCAATTACTTTCTAATTCGATATAATATAATATCATATCATATAGTATCAAACGAAAAAAAAACGTAACACTAGTTACTTAATGGTTACACATTCTGGTTGGATAATTGATGGGATAGGGGACAACGGGATAAATGGGAATAGAAATATATAATAAATAGAGTCATCATTAAAAAATAATCAAATTTGAACATATTCATAAAAATTTCTTTATTGAGTAATTATAGAATTTGACCGCAATTTTTGAAACATTATTTTATATCTACTTTTATTACAATTTTCATTTTAATCCCTGTATACTTAATTACTAGGTTTTTCCTACTGTGTTAGCTCTCCTGAATTAATTTTTTTAACTTCTGGTAATAAATAATTTCTCCGGAATATCTTATGAAAATCAAATAAAATTCCATATAGTGTCAGCTCTTTTGAAACACTTAACTTTTTTTTAAGATCCAAAATAATTCCACCTGAGTCTACACTCCT